CCCGCCTTGGCCTCCCAGAGTGCTAGGATTACAGGCATGAGCCACCGTGCCCGGCCAAATATAGTTTAAAGAGTATGCAATGTGATATGGTATTCCATGGCTCTGTTCAAAGGGAACTATAATGTAATGCTTTGAATTTGGCTTTGATAAGAATATTAACTAATCCTTAAAATTTATAATTTTCCTGATTTATTTATAAGGAGGTGGAGAAAAAGTTAATACTTAGATAAATTAAATTCCTTTAAGAACAACACTTCTTAAGAATTTTTACTTTTGAAGGCCTTGATTTTAAGACTCATACCATGTAAATCTAGAAGCACTAAAAGGTATATACTTCAGTACTCTGACAAAAAGTACCCAATCTTTTGTTTTTAAAAAATACCAGCCCACCCCCCAAATTAAAATTTAAAAAAAGGAAAGCACACTACCAGTGATTAACCTATTTTGTATTCAATATTTTTCTTTCTTTTTCGAGACAAAGTCTCACTCTGCTACCCAGGCTAGAGTGCAGTGGCATCATCATAGCTCACTGCAACCTCAAACTTCTGGGCTCAAGCCATTCTCCTCAGCCTCCCAAGTAGCTAGGACTACAGGTGCGTGCCACCATGCCCGGCTAATTTTTCTATTTTTAATAGAGATGGGGTCTTGCTCTTGCTCAGGCTGGTCTCAAACTTCAGAGCTCAAGCAATTCTCCCACCTCAGCCTCCCAGAGTGCTAGGATTACAGGCATGAGCCACTGCACCCAACCATATTCAAAAATTTAAAGCATTTCTCACTATACCAAATACTTCATTAGTCTGGCAATCATATATGTATAACAAACCAAGGGTAAATATCTGAGGCAGAGAAAGTCTATTTGATACTAAAATATTTCACCGTGGAATGGAGCATAGCGTTGATAGTTTCTGAAGATGTGACAATTTCATGTTTCAATAATTATACACTTAACCAGAAATGGCCTTTGTATTTCCTTATTGGAACATATCTACATATGGCAGCATTTTCTATCTTTGCCTATTTCTTATACATACCTACAGGAACATTTGTGGTAGGACATTATGATTTTTGAAAGCCAATTTTTTAAATAGCTTTGTACTACCTTTACATGCTTCTATAACTCACTCAGCAGCAAAAGGAGAAATTCACCTCTATGTTATATCCAAAAAGTTTATTAGGATCTTTTTTCC